CCAAACAGAAAAACAAACCCCAGGAAGGAATCCTTGGCGCCCTCTGGTGGGCAAGCCTCCGGATCCCAACAGTCATATTCTGTCTTTATTTTTTTTATTTGGTTTTTATAATGTTAGTTCATGTTTCCAAACTTATTTCAGATAGACGTTTGTAAGTTAATGGTTCTCTTTATTAAGAGCTTTGTAGTTTATTATTCAGTGAATTTTCATTTTCTGTGCTTGTATTCTTTACTTAGATGGGGGGGAAGACAAGTTTACTTGTCTTGTAAACTGGTGGGAACTCTGCAAGGGAACCACTTAATTAGATTATGTTATTATGTTTATTAGTTAGGATGGTTATTAGTTCCTAATAGGCTACACATAGCACATTTTGATGGTCAATTCCAAGTCCTTGCTTAAATAAAAAAAAAATAATAATTAAAAATGTACACTAATGTCTACAAGCCACTTCTGTCAGACTTTAGTCTGAGCCTCTTTAAACTCTAAGAGCCCCACAGGCATGAAAAACAGGACTAACAACACATTAGCTTGCTGTTTACAGAAACAATAGTACATGCCAGCATCTCTGTACTAATATCTTATATATTAGCTGTTAAGCATTCAAAGTCGAAAATGTCTTTTCTTACCTTCATCTATCAAGATGAAGGTAAGAAAAAGCAGAGCATAACTATTAACAATGATGTGTTGTAGGAGCCAAAGCAAAGACGTAAAAGTCAGATTAAATGTGACATGACAACTAAAACTGCATACATGTTACATATCCGGTATTTCTTATAAGAGCTATCAAATAGGTATTCAGTTCATTTCAACATATGAAGTGGCTCAAATCTGATTTTAGTGCAAGGTGAAAAGATCAGAATTGGGCCAGTAGGCTGCTGTGAAAACATCTTATATGTTTCGCATAGAAGGAAAAAGTAATACTTGGGTCATCTTGGCCTGTTGTGTGAACGTTCTTCTACGACAGCCTCCAGCTGTAGAACGCTTGATTAAGCTGCTGCTTACTGGAAGAGGAGCAATGAATCCTAATTTTATTTAACTCTTGTGTTAACAGACCACATGAGGCCCGTTTCACGAAGCAGGTGTACTGAAAACTCTGAGTTTTCCGTTTCACAAAAAAGTTTACTCAACCTCTGTTTCTGTTACCATAGCAACATTCTGCTCCCATAGTAACAAACCTGCTCCCGAGCTAACCTGCTTGGGGGCAGGTTTTTTTCCGTAAACTCAGAATGTCTTTGTGTCTCCGCCCTCCTTAAACCCAGTAATAATAATTCAATAATTTTATTTCCTGATTTTATTAGCAGAGTTCTGTCATAGTTTTGCATGAGCACTAGAGAATAAATCATTCACTAGCTCCATTAGACACATTAGGTGTCTAAAATAAAAAACACAGCATGTCCTTGTGACGAGCATTAAGTCACAGAGAATTAGATATTTATAGGGAAAGGGTTGTCAGACCACGTATAGATGTCCTTTCTTATTCAGTTATCTTCATGAGTATGTTTCGCTTTAAAACTCATCACATACATTCAGATTGTATCTGTCCATATTTGCAGGATTACACAGACTTACACAGATTACACATGTATTTAACAGAACTTGATATCAGCCAGAACACACTGATGTGTAATAACAGCACTACAGAAAACAACTGCACAGCTACTTAGTATTGACTGTGTAAATTTATTTCTGAGGTCTGAAATAAACTCAGAGTTTCAAAGCTTAGGCTAGGTCTATTCAGAGTTAATGATTTACGTTTGAATTTGGTAAACCTGCTATGAAAAGGGTCTCTGATAATTTGGGCCTGATTTCCTGCCACCTACCTTCTTTACATGACTCAAAAGTAAACGGATGTGTCTAATAAGTCAAGATTTTCTTATGATTGATGGTGATCCCAAAAAAAGGGGCAAATCTACCACAAAATGTCATGTAATAAAATAAAGAAACAACGAAAATAATGCTGTGAAGCTGTGCAAAATTATGTTAAAATAATATCGATGTGACTTTCTGATGTTTAAGATGGTTTTACAAATGACTTGCATACAGAAAACCGTATTTCTTTATATTCATCTAGATTATTTGCTCATATTAAATCTGGATCTTCTTTTGATGTGCTGGTTTGTTAAAGTGCAGACTTAAAAGAGGATGGACCCCCTTTTTTTCATCAATTTTCCAATGTAAAGAAAGACATGCTTTTTTTAAAGGTCATATGTATTTTTAAAACAGCACACGGAGGAACCTAAGTCTTAAATAAATATTGAGAAAACTGCTTGTGGCTCTTTTGGCTCTCCTGTAGGTTTAACAACATAGAACATACTGTAGGACTGTGCTTTTAAATATAAAGGTTATAAAACAACTAGCTTTAGCAATTTTCTGGATTGCTTTAACAGAATAACTAAAAGTTTAATAGCTGCAGGCTACATTTTCCCCTTAATCATTATAATATTGAGTTTTTAAAAAGATTTTATTTTGTGGCTGGAGACAAATTCTTATTTAGTAAGAACAAACCTTATAATTCAAATGCCTATTAAGGACTGTTAGGTTAGAAAAAAAAATATTTAAGCAGTGTTTTTTTTTCCATTTATAATGTAAGAAGCAAACGTGCAGTTAAGTATTTTCTGTCTGTGGAGGGGGAGTATTGCTTTACAAGGTTGGCATAATTTACAAAACATTCCAGAAGGCTTTCAAAGTATTTTGGTGCTGCCATGTTAAATAGTTGCTGAAAAGAAATGTTATGTTTAGGGGATGAAAAAAAACGTCAGACATATGAACTTAATTTGCATCTGTCAGGCATTAGGCTGGCAGCATTGTGGCTCAGCTTATAACTGAATATAAATGTGTCAGTACTCGAGTCTGAAATGCTCCTCAAGAATTATAAAGTATTAAAACACAGGAGCACAAGAAGTTATGCCCCCACACAGGAAATGACAACAAATGATCTTTACCAGATTTCAAAATAGCCAGCAAAGAAGAGTTGAATAAACAGCGTAATATCCAAAAAGTCTGGCTTTTCTTTTAGACCAAGATGAGGTTAAATATTGCCTTATTTAAAACAGTTGTTTTTTGTCAAAAATTGACATTTACAGAGAAAAAAATCTATAAATCTACAACTTAAAAATTAGGTCCTATCTAGTTTATGTACTAGGTTACTGACAGAGACACACAGACCGTGCACACACATTCCCACCTAAGAGCTGTTTGGAGTGGCCTATTACCCTCACATGCATGAATCTGGAGTGCAGGAGGAAGCTGGAGTACACAAAGAAAACCTACGCACTTAAAGAACAGGTGTTATCACTCAGCCAAGGGTTAAAAATAAGAATTCACAAAATGTGTATATCAGAAAACTCAGATAGACAATGATTATTATACATTAGATGTAATTAGTTGTTTTTTTAACATCCCTGTTAACAGCACCTAGGGTAGGACAATTTCACATGGATGGAGGTGGAGTACTCTCAGCTCAGAGCCTTGTGGTTAGCATTACAGGAGTACAGAGTGAGGGAAGATTAAGAAGGGACATGTGATGTACCTTTGGGGATAATTATACATCAAAAGACATCATTTTTTTTTTAGAATACGAAAAACTATATGCTAAACAAATGCGTCCAATAATAACTGCAGTTATCTATGGTCCCATTCAGCAGATTATAGAACCATAGAAATTTCAGTCATAGATGCCAGGTTTTGGAGAAAGAAAAAGGCATCATTGGTGATTGATACCAAAGCGTTTCCAGGCTTAATGTGACTTATATCCTTCAAAAGTGTAATAACCTGGTTTCTGATTTCCACTGGTTTTCGCTGTAGAAAAAGCTTTATATCTAGAGTTTGTCAAAGCACACCTTGTCTAAAGAACATTTTGGAGTAATTATGGATTTTAGTTTACTTAGGTAAGACGTAGTTAATCTGATGAGCTACAAATAAAATCTATCCAAGAACATTTTTGACGTCTGGGATTACATATATTGGCTACACAACAAACCAAAACACTTTTCAAATATAATATGTTCTATATGCATTCCATGGCACACTAATGTATATGGGGTGCCAAATCTAAAAATTTAACAAACTAAAAAAATTCACGGTTACATTTCTGTTATTTAGCCCACTTTCTTTCTATTTAGTCTATATTTGCAAATATAAACACCAACAAGGGTGTGCACCAACAAATTGTTGGTGCACACCCTTGTTGGTGTTTATATTTGCAAGTGATGTTACCCGAGGTTTAATTGGTAAAATGAATGATGAATGATGAATTAGCCTATTTTCTAAAGATTTAATTCTGAAACTCAAGATTTGGAATAAAAATAAAAGATATATGGTTATATTTGAGATTTCAATTAAATTTGGTCTCAATTCAATTTTATATAGTGCTAAAAAGGGGCCTAACTTGGTTCAAGCAAAGTGTTTGTAATAAAACTGTTAGATTCCCTGTTTTTGTGGGGGCTCTC